GATACGGCACGCGGCTTGAGCAGGGCTCGGCTCGAGGCTCGGCACGCGACTCGGCGCGCGGTCCGGTGGAATCGGCGCGTTCGGCTGTGGGTGTGGCGGCAGCGACGCGGCGCGCCGTCGACGCGCGCGCGGCGGCGGCGTGCTCCACCCAGTCGCTGGTGGAAGGCTGTGGAGGCTGTGGAGGCGGCACGACGAGAGCTGTGAACAGGCGTGCGTCGTCCACTCGCTGACGATGGCTGCTTGCCAGTTGGCCGCGGCCGCGCTGCAGGCAGACAGCCCCATCCTCTGGCTCTGCTGCGTCGCCGCCGCTTTGAACGCGGTCAACCTCGCAGCCAACGCCGTGCAGCGCGTGCTTCCGCGCAGCTGCCTCGCCCGAGGCGCCGCTGACGCCTCCGCGAGCCGTCCAAGACACGTCCACGACACGTCCTTGAGACATGCCCTCACGTCACGGTCAGGCGCCGCCGTCGCCTCCGAGGCCGCCAGTGTCGAGCTCGAGCGCTCGCACCAGTTCGGGCCGTCGAAGCGCGGATCCGCGTCCTGCAGCGCCTCCTGCAGCGCCAGCCAGCGGGCGTCGATGGAGTCGAGCGCTCCGGTCTCAGGCCGTGGCTCGACCGGCGCAGGCTCGGTAGATGACCGAGCCCCGCACTCGCCCCGCTCTGACAGGCACTCGAGATCTCGCCATATCTCCCCATGCCTCCCCATGTCTCCCCATGTCTCCCTATAGCTCCGGCTGGCGCGCTTGTATCCCACCGATCTTCGACACACCCCTCGGTACCGCTTGCACATGAACATGTGCATGTGCATGACATGCACCGAGGGGTAGCTCTGTTGTACCATGCACGGACAGTCGAACAAAGGGCGGACAGGCAGAGATCGACTAGGCAGACTGGCAACGATGAGTCCCGCCTTCACGCCCGCACAGTGGAGTCGTACATTCCTACTAGGCGCTGGCCGCGGCTCTGCCGGACCGCTTGTCGACGCGTCGGGCCGCTGGTCGCTAGATACACCGCGGGCCTCAGCGATTGGCCCATCGCAGTTTGGAACGGGTGAGTTTGGGGTCGGAAGCGGCCGCTGCGCCGGCAGCGGCTGCAGCGGCTGCAGCAGCGGCGGCGGCGGCGGCCGTGAGGGCAGCGGCGCAGCGACGAGGGCTCTTCCGCCGCCGTCGTCGTGCTTGCGGCGCGACTCGACGAATATCAACCTCACCACGCTCATCGAGTCCCCTGGAGAGGAGGGCACGACGCCGCGGTCGGATGTGACTGGCAGCAGTGACGACGGCACCGACTCCTCGGAGAGCGGCGGGGCGAGCGACTTCAGCGGCAGCGCTGACGAGCTCGAGGAGGCGCTTCTACCCGCCTCACGCACGCGCGCCGGCCCTGGCACTTTCATGCCGCGGGGGCGCCAATCTCTGGAGGAGGAGGGGGAGGGGGGGGGGGGGGGAGGGGGGGGGGGGGGGCCCTCCCAAAAAAACCCCCACCCTGTGGGCCGGCGCCTCTCGGGGGGAGAAAAAATTGGGGGAAAACCCGGAGAATTTTAAAAGCCAGGACCTCCCCCGAACACAGGGGTTTCCCGGGAAGGAGCGAAACCTTTTCGGAACCTTTTCGGAACCTTCCCGAAGGCCCTCCCCGGGCAGGACCGGGGAAGGACCCCCAGGAGGCAACCCCCCCCCCACCCGGGCAGGGGGTCCGGCCCCAAAAGGGAGGGGCCCCCCCCGGAAGG